CCCCAAACAGGGTCTGAACACAAGAGCCCTCTCTTCTCCTGTGGTTTCCAGCGACTGGGATTCAGAAGCATCACTGCCTCTAACTGTGGAGGCAGAGCAGAACCTCTGACAGAGAATATACTATTTAACAGGGGGTGCCAGTGGCTGGACCTGCCCCCCCCACTTGCACCCAGCTCCAGTGAGTGCCTCACGCAACGATGCGTTCTTACGTTGCTGGGTTATTGCCTCCTCATAGTGGTTCTCCTTGTGCAAAAGCTGGTGGAAGAGATGATACGCCTTTCCCCACCGTGATAAATGGAGCACAGCATCTTCAGGGCTGTATGCAAAGCGTAGGCTGGCATGTTCATTAGCAGGAGGGGGAAGCGTGTGCTCCAGTTCTGATATACTTATTACGGGGAAGCGCGTGCAGTTATGTAGCGGCTGCAGTTTCCGTCTGTGTTTCTCTCTTTCTTTCTTTTTTTTAAAAAAAAGCCCAGCAGAGAATGATGTTTAACCAGAGTGCATTCTGCCCTCATTGCAGGAAGCACAAACATAATAATAATAATAATAATAATAATAATTTTTTATTTATACCCCCCCTTCCCGGTTCAGGAAACCGGGCTCAGGGCGGCTAACAACAAATTTAAAACACTTAATTGATGCTACAAAAAAACCCAGCATAAAATACGGTATAAAGCATAAATAACAATAAAATCAAAAATCAATTTAGGGGGGAAATCCATCCAATAAACATTAGATGATCACCAGGGTTAGCTGGCTAAATTTTTAGTAGCTGCATAGGTGGAAATTCAGCCAGGCAAACTGGCTTTCTTTTTTAAAAATAATAATAATATGGCAGTACAGTGGGGCTGAGATCTGCGTGTGCCTTAAAGTGGGGCGGTGGGCTGTGGGCTGGCCCTCCAGAGGTTGCTGGAATTCCAATTAGCATCAAGAGGATTGGACAAATTCATGGAGGAAAGGGCTATGATGGTTACTAGCTAGGGTGACTATGCTCTGCCTCTGCAGCAATGCCTCTGAATAAAAACTGCTGGAAACTGCAGGAGGGGAGGGGGCTCTTGGGCTCGTGTCCAGCTTGCTGGTTTCCCATGGGGGCATCTGGGTGGCCACTGTGAGAACAGGATGCTGGACTTGATGGGCCACTGGCCTCATCCTGCAGACTCTTCTCATGTTCTTATCCAGCATCATTCTTGACCGCCGGCTATACAGGCTGATGGGGAGTTGGGAGTCCACAGACATCTGGAGAACCACATGTGGGCCACATGTTCCCCTGTTTTAAAGGGAAAGTGGCCCAGATTTTCCCCAGACTTGACAGTCCTTAGAAAACATCGTTTCAGGTTCCAGTCTTTCCCCACAAAGATTCACGTTTGCAGTACTTGTCAAAAATATTTCAAGTTTACAGCACGAAAGTATTAAAGTTTAAAAACATCTGTTGGCTTGGTTTTTTTATGCTGCCTCACGGCAGGAGGTTTTCCCCAGGAAAAAATCTGAGTGATTTAGGAAGCAGCTGGTAGCCTTATGTGGCTAGTCAGTAGCACTGTGGGGAGACGGGTGTGCTCTGCCTGTCCTTTCTAAACGGCAGATTGCCAGGCAATTTCCAAGACGCCCTACGATGGGTTGTAGGCAGGCAAACTGCTGTTTCAGTATTTGCACATGGGGGCAAATCTGATGTCTGGATGCCACCCCCCTCCTAAGAAATTGAGAGGATGGGTTTATGTGGCCGCTTCCCAAAATTTGCCTGGCTTTTGAAACAAATAAACGGGAGATCTTTCTCAAATTCCAGATGAAGATGAAATAGCTACATTGCAAAACACACAAACTTATCACTGGGAAGGAGGAAACAGAGGATCTGAAGTTTTTCTTTCTTTAGGGAGAGGTTAGTACATCTGATCAAAGCAGTGGTTCCCAGGCTGTTTCCTGACCACCGCCCCCTTGGTTCCATAAACGCATCCCCAGTGCTCCCTACCTTATAAAAAGCATTATTCAGAACAGTGGTTTGCATGACCCACTCAGGAAGATAATAACACAATAAAATTCAAAACAGTAAAGGTTGATTGCACCGTTACTCAAAATCCAATTAAAACTATTTAGTTTAGTTAATTCAGCAGAACTCCTGAACTTGATCCAGTGATGCCAGATGTTGCATGAAAAACATTCTTATGCATTCTTATGAACGAAAACATGAGGGTGAAGGAAGTTTACAGCACGAAACACTTGCCGAGCACGCACAAACCTTCACCTACCGCAGACGTAAGATAACTAAATTACAACGAAATAGATCGCTATTGCCAATCATTGGCTATCTTGTGACTTGTGACAACCCAGAATGGTAAATGCAAGCAAACATTACCAAAGGAAGTAGCATTGAAAGCGATAAGAGCAGTAGACTTTGGGAACCTCTGGATTAAAGTGGAATGGGTGTGTGTTTGTGTTTTGTACCTTTTAAAATTCACAAGAGCAACTCACAGCTCGGGGTGAATTTTGCCTCTTTCCCGTCAAAAAGATTTGCATAGCTGCAAGTTATTGCTAAGCAAGAATTTGCCTGTGGGTCCAGCCTCCCCATCCTGTTTCTGGTGACCTTTTGCCATCCTCTTGCACAGAGAGAAAGAAAGAGGGGAAGGGGCTCTGTCAGCCTCCCACCATATGCTTGCTCTCTCTTTTATGACTGGGGGGCAGGTACCAAAAGAGTGACCTTGCATGCTGGAAAATCCAACATTTGGACTTCCTAAAAAGCGAAACGTGCTGGGCTGGGCTGCCTCTGCTGCGCCCCAGTCTGAGTAGCAAGGGAAGGACGCTGGCTTTGCCCAGAGGCACTCTGAACCCGTACGAAGGAGAATAAATTTTGGGGCTTGGCTGGAAAGGCTGAAGCTGGGTCACTGGGAAATGTAACTCCCTCTTAAACTGCAGGGCAGATCGCTGGAGATGCCATTGGTCAGGACTGTTCACTGGGTGGAATACGCAGGAAGGAAATTCCTAGCTGAGCAGAGAGCAGAGTTTGGTTTGAATCTGCAGTGGAGAACTGTGTGGGGAACCTCTGGACATTGTTGGACTGGACTTCACTCCAGACTCCAGCAACACCTGGGAGGGCCATTCAGGTTCCCCACCCCCACCCCCTGCTCTGCAGAAATGCTAAGCATTTAATACAAACTGAAGCATGGTGGAGCACAAAAGGCAACGACAAGGAAACTTTTAAAGTTTCTGGTCCATGGTCTCTCCTGCCTTTGGAGGTGCCGATACATCTCCTTGCCAAGGGTGCAAGGGAGCCTAGGGTCGCCTCTGCCTTCCAGATGTTGGTGGTCTCCACCTCCTCCCATCCCTGATCATTGGCCCTGCTGGCTGCTGGGGATGACGGGTGCTGGGGGTCCTGCAAGAGCTTCCCCATACCTGAAATAAAGCTAGGAAGCATCATCCCGCTCATTTCATCATTACTTCAGCCCCTACCAAGCTGGCAAAAGTCTCTCTGGCCTGGTTTGTACCATACATTAAAGCACTCTGATGCCACTTCAAACAGTCATGGCTTCCCCTAAAGAATCCTGGGAGCTGGATTCAGGGTGTTGAGAGTTGGCAGGAGATGATGCCTATTCCCCCCTCATACAACTACAATTCCTGGAGCTCCCTGTGGAAAGGGATTGATTGTTAAACCACTCTGTGAATTGTAGCTCTCTTTGAGGAAATAAGGGCTCTCCTAGCAACACTCAGCACCCTTCACAGACTACACTTCCCAGGATTCTTTGGGGGAAGCTATGTCTGCTTAAAGTGGCATCATTGTGCTTTAAAGATATGGTGTAAGTGTAGTTTCTTTCTTTCTTTCTTTCTTTCTTTCTTTCTTTCTTTCTTTCTTTCTTTCTTTCTTTTTCTTTCTTTCTCTCTCTCTCTCTCTCTCTTACTTCTTTGCAATCCCCTCCCTGGTTTTTGTGGCACGAGCTTTCCTCCGCACGAGCCCATCATGCGCAAGCCGCTAATGGCTTCTGAATGCTTTGACGGGCTTTAGTGCAGCATCTGTGAGCTCCTCCGCACAGCCCTTCCTTTTTGCCGTGGGTCATAATAAAACCTGTTTTTTAAATAAATTAATTAATTAAATAGCAGACAAAAGGCCTCTTTACTTTCCCCAGCTGTGTGACACACAGAACTGCCCTCTGAGTTCAGTGTTTGAAACAGGGGCGGGGAGGGCAGCTGCTTTTTATAGGCACACCTGAAGGCAGGGTTGGGGAACCTGGAGGGCTGCCCAGGTGTGGTCGGGCACCAACTCCCATGTTATAAGAAAAAAACTGCTCCTTTTCCCTTATGGGGTACCTAAGAGCCCACATTGGACGTGGGTGGCGCTGTGGGTTAAACCACAGAGCCTAGGACTTGCCGATCAGAAGGTTGGCGGTTTGAATCCCCACGACGGGGTGAGCTCCCGTTGTTCGGTCCCTGCTCCTGCCAACCTAGCAGTTCAAAAGCATGTCAAAGTGCAAGTAGATAAATAGGTACCGCTCCGGCAGGAAGGTAAACGGCGTTTCCGTGCGTTGCTCTGGTTCGCCAGAAGCGGCTTAGTCATGCTGGCCACATGACCCGGAAGCTGTACGCCGGCTCCCTCGGCCAATGAAGCAAGATGAGCGCCACAACCCCAGAGTCGGCCACGACTGGACTTAACGGTCAGGGGACCCTTTACCTTTATCTTTGCCTTTAAGAGCCCATATAGTCCTTTTGTAGGTTCTCTATTGGTAGGAGAAAATAACAGAGGCCAACCAGAGAATATTGAGAAGCAAAACATCCCAATGGGTCAAGGATGCTGATGGGCATTAGAAGTGGAGCCTGCCACCCTCCAGGTATCCAGATACCATAATTGTTGACCATGCTGAGGTCCCACGTCCCCGGCCCTGCTCTAAGAGACATTCCTCCCTCTCTCAAGAGGGAGACATTCTTAAGCAGAGACATCTCTGCATCTCTCCCAGGCACCACAAAATGCCATTTCTTAGAGCAGGGCATGGAGCTCAGATGTTGTTCGACATCTATCCTGGGCCCAGCTGGGAGCTGAACTGCAACAACGAGCATGAGACTCATAATCTCAAGGTTGTGGGTTCAAGCCCCAGGTTGGGCAGAAGATTCCTGCATTGCAAGGGGCTGGACTAGATCAATGTTTTCCAACCTTTGGTCTCCAGCTGGTTTCAGACTACAATTCCCATCATCGTTGACCACTGGTCTTGCCAGCTAGGGAAGATGGGAGTTGTAGTCCAAAAGCAGCTGGAGACCCAAGGTTGGGAAACACCGGACTAGATTATCTTTGTGGTGCCTTCCAAGTCTATTTTCTGTGTTCTCTCCATGACATCTGGAGATCCCTAGCTTTCCTGCTTTTCTCCTAAAAGAAATTCATGGAGGAGAGAGGGACTTAGCCATGTGGCTGCGCTCTGCCTTCATGGTGGGAAGTGGCAATGCTTCTGAATGCCAGTTGATGGAGACCACAGGATGGGAGAGTGGCTCTTGCACCCAGGTCCTGCTTGAGTGTTTCCCACGGTCCTTGGTTGGCTGCTGTGAGAACAAGAGGCTGGAGGGCCTGAAGGCAAGAACTACAGTCAGAAGGTAGACAGTGGGAGATTCAGGACAGACAGCATAAGGAAGCTGCCATACTGAGTTAGACCGTTTGTCTGCCTAGCTCAGCATTGCCTACACTGACTGGCAGCAGTGGCAGCTCTCCAAGGTGTTAGGCGGGGGGGGGGGGGGTCTCTCCCAGCTGCACCAGGAGATGCTGCCACAGATTGAAACCTCAGACTTTCTGCATGCAAAGCAGGTGTTCTGTCACGGAGCTAAAGCCTTTTGTTATTGGAAGGTGCCTAGGCACACAGTACATGGCCATCTGGAATTCGCTGCCTAAAACCTTCTTTGGCGAAGGACCCCAACTTGATGGCAGAGCATCCACCTTGCATACAGAACTCATGACTCAAGCATCCCATCCAACCTTTGCTTAAAAATCTCCAAGGAAGGAGAGTCCACCACTTCTCAGGGGAGACCGTTCCCCTTTGAACAGCCCTTACTGTCAGAAAGTTTTTCCTGATGCTTAGTTGGCCTCTCCTTTCTTATAACTTGGAAGCTATGGGTTCGAGTCCTACCCTCGCACTGGAGAAAACACGCTTGTTCGCTCTTCCATCTGACAGCCCTTGATATATTTGAAGGTGGCCATCATATCTCCTCTCGGTCTCCTCTTTTCCAGGCTAAACATACCCAGCAACTCCAGCTGTTCCTCATCAGGCTTGGTTTCCAGATGTCAACATATATTGGCCTCCTCTATAGGGGGGCAGGGGGCGCGGAGTGCGCCACCCTGGGATGCTTTTAAAAGTGGCTGGGGGGGGGGGGAGAGAGAGAGAAACAAATAAATGCATGGAGGTGAAGGCTATCAATGGCTCCAAGGCACCGGCGCCTCTGCACCCTAGCCATGCTTGCGGACTTCCCAGAGGAAGGCGGTTGCCAACTGCGGGGAAGAGCGCGACGCAGCCAGGCTACCCGTCTCTGCCCCCCGTCTGACGGGAGACGGAGGCGACCGGGCGCCCCGGCATCGTCCCAAGGCCGCGTGGCTGAGCTGCCGCTGCTGCCGCCGCCGCCTTGGGGAACCGCGGAGAGGCAAGGCGCGCCCCGGCCGGTCTCTGGCGCTGGGGCAGCGCCCGCCTCTCCTCGTGGCCGGCGAAGGGACGCCCGCGCGCCCCGCCCCTGGGCCGGCCCAGAGGCGAAGTTGGGCCGGCTCGCCCTTGCGCACTGCGCGCCGTGCCGGCTTGGGGAGGCCAGGAGGGCGGGCGCTCCTCGGACACGCCAGAAGCCGCTGCCGGCGCCGGAGCGCAAGCAGCTCGCCCGCCGCCAGCCTCCTGCCTGCGCTGCCAGCCAGCCAGCCGCGCTCTTCTCTTCCCCGGCGTGCGCCCTGGTGCGCCCATGCTCCGCGCTCTCCGGCGGGGACCCCGCAGCCCCCTATGACCCTGCGCGGGCTCCGGCGGAGACAGCAAGGCGGCGGGGGCCGAGGAGGAGCAGGCGGCAGCGGCCGACCCCCTTCCGCCGCCCCGGCCTGCCCCCTCTGCCGCCGCCGCCGCCGGCCCCCCAAGATGATCCCCTACTTCTCCGACGACGCCGTCATCTCCCAGAACGCCATCAACCAGCTGTGAGTACCGCCGCCGCTTCTCTCCTCCTCCAGCCCCAGTTACTAGGGAGGAAGTTAGCAGGATGGTTGGGCACCCCCTCCCCAAACGTATGGGATCATTTCCTCCTTTTTCCAGACACGGATTGAGAATCTTACATTCTCTCTCTCTCTCTCTCTCTTCCTCCTCGCCCCCCCCCATACACTTTTCTCGTCCCCTTGCCAGCGCCAGCGGTGGCTCCGCGTACTGCAGCGCAGAAGCCGTTTGATTTCTCTGGGTCCCGTACCCCCCCCCCCGCCGCCGCTCTTTTCCTCCCTTTTTCCTCTCCTTTCTCTGCTGCCAATTTTTTTAGGAAGTCATCTCGGGTAAAGCAGAGAGTCAAAGGAGGAGACTCTGGGCGGGCGAGTCGAATCTCCTTGCTTATTTCGGATATATTTCTCCCATTCCTGTTGGGGGTGCGGGGCAGAGAGGATAGAGGAAACGGGGGTCTAGTCCGTTGCGACGCTGCTCCTGCCCCAAAGAACATCCGTGCGCGCTGAGGGGGGGGTAGGTGGGTGTGCGAGCGGGCGAGCGCGTGCGCAGAAAAAGAGAGGAAAATTGGGTTTAGGTCGGAAGTTAACTTAGGGAGCTCAGCAAGCTGTGTTTGCCCGGACCTGCCCTCCCCAGCTGTTGCCCTCCAGATGTTTAAGCTACAGCTCTGCGGCTGGCTGGCTGGCCGGAGTTGCAGGCCGGAACACCTGGAGGGCTCCCAGGTTAGCAAATTTTGGAGCAATTGTACTATGCGAGAGGGAAGACGTGCAAGGGGCAGCTTCGAGCGAACCTTGAATCCAAGCTTTGTGGTGGTTTGAGTTGCTGGTCTGAGCGCTTTTGCTTCAAAGTAAATCTCAAGTACAGTGGTACCTCGGCTTAAGAACTTAATTCGTTCTGGAGGTCCGTTATTAACCTGAAGCTGTTCTTAACCTGAAGCACCACTTTATCTAATGGGGCCTCCTGCTGCTGCCACACAATTTCTGTTCTCATCCTGAAGCAAAGTTCTTAACCCGAGGTACTATTTCTGGGTTAGCAGAGTCTAACCTGAAGCATTTGTAACCCAAGGTACCACTGTATAGGAATGGGCTTCAGCCACCCAACAAACGGTGTGGGGCTGCAGCCTGTGCTGGGAGCCCCTTCTGATACCCTGTCCTTACTGGGGGATTATTGCCACAGAAGTCTGCATGGGAAAGTAGCCTTCATGAGAGATGGGTGTCTTTCCTCCCCAAACAAAGCAGTTAAGAAGATAAAGAAGAGCCTACTGGATCAGGCCAAGGGGGCCCATCCAGTCCAGTATCCTGTTCTCACAGTGGCCAACCAGTTTCCTGTAGGAAACCTGAAGTGGGACCCCTGCACAATAGCATTCTCCCCTCCTGGTATTCAGAAGCACTGCTGCCTCCAGCAGCCGTTATGGCAAGTAGGGTTGCTATTGTGAAAATGAGTAAAGGGAGCCTTGTCTGCTGTTCTTAGCCCCTTGGGAAATGCCTCGTATAAAAACGTCCACAGTATAAAAGAATAAATATAATAATTGGAATCATAGAGTTGGAGGTGAGCCAAAGGGTCATCTAGTCCAACCCCCTGCAATCTTGCAAATTTGCACTCTTGTTTTCAAATGACCCCCCCCCCAGTGAGTTCACCGTGCTTTGCTGTCTGTTCTTGAACCCAATTCCAAACATGCAGGTTTGGAGACAACTTGAGTTCGGCTCGGCCTGCTTTCCTGTTTTTGCTCCCTGCTCTTTATTCTTGCGCTGGGGGAAGCGTAAACCATCTTTCTTCCCCCCACCCCATTTTTACGCTTGGCTCCATAAAAGGCTTTTGTGGTTTTCCTGTTCTGCGGCAAGACATACGCCCTTCCCCAGAACCTCAGGCTGCCCCTGCCACTCTTGGCCTCTAGCTCTCTACTTTCAGGGCTTCCGCTTCTCAGCACCTTCTCAGACCCTTCGGCCCTCTCAGCTTGGGAAGGGGGGGGGCTTCTGCTATCAGAGACGGCTGTCCAGGAATAGCCACACAAGAAGTCTGTGTCAGCAAATGGAGCTTTTACAGTTGCAGAGGCCTTGCAGTATCCTACCAACAACTGGGCAGTTGCCAGCCTTGGTGAGGATGGCTTTTAATGCCTTTCCCTCTTCTCTTCTCTTCTCTTCTCTTCTCTTCTCTTCTCTTCTCTTCTCTCCACCCCCCCACCCCACCCCGCCCCACTGTCACTGCTCCCTGGTGCAGAAACCCCACTGGTTCACTGGCTTCCTGCCCAAAGCAAGCCTTGGTGCTTAGAGCACCAGTTTTTGGCAAGGAAGCAGGGCATGGGAGTCTTGCTTTTGGATACCACTTGCTGGAAGTTGCAGGTGGAGAGAGTCCTGCTAGAGGGGGCATCAGCTTGGCCACCGTGAAAGCAGAAAGCTGAACTTCATAGACCCCCCTTGACCTGATCCAGCAGGGCCATTCTGATGCTCCTGTGTGTGTCTTTGCTGCTTCTGACGCTGCTGAGTGCTGGGAACATAGGAAGCGGTCTCATTCTGAGTCAGATTGCACAGAGTTTGGGGAAGGACCATAACAACTCAGTGGCAGAGCATCTGTTTTGTGTGCAGAAGGCCCCAGGTTTAATCCCCAATGGCATTTCCAGGTAAAGCTGGGAGAGAAGCCTGCCAGGAACACTTAAGAGATGCTGCCAGTCAGTGATGGCAGCTCCCTGTGATCCTGTGCTCCTAGGACATATTGCTCTGTCTCCAGTTTCAGACTGGAGAATCTCTGCCTCAGTGTTAGAAACTCAAATATATAAGCCAGGTGTTAAATAGCTCCTTAAACCAGGGATACAGTCGGCAGAACAGAACAGCCAGTTGCTCTTTTGGGGCCAAACAACTCAAAAGTTTTGCTTTTCATTAGGACTTTGGGGTTCCTACACTCCATTCTGATTGTGCAGATAAAATAGAACGGATAGAATCCCACAGGTTGCATTGCT